TCCCAACATATATCAACAAAATTGTTAACATTATTAACACCCTTAAAGTTTGCAATACTAAAGTATAATATGCAATATTTATTAAAACAATTCACATGCTAAAAATCTGCATATTTCTAATTAAACACTACTTCTACATATACTCTTAAATACAAACATTATGTTAATATAACCAACAACAAAAGGAATATTAAATCCAGACAGGAAAACAGATACAGAAATACAAAAATGGCCTTAAGGGAATAACTAAAGAAATTATTTTTAATACTTACAAAAACTAAAGAAAACACAAAAGAAACATAAATGCTAATTTTTAAAACAATAAACTTATTTATTAAAACCAACTTGCATTGCCAACATCTAAAAAGGACTGTGGGGTAGAATAACTGTAAATTTGTAAAGCTTTACACCCTTATTCATAAACAACATTTTTTATTACAAATCTTTTATAAAACATCATTAACATATTTACAAAATTTGATTTATAAACACTTTATAAAATAAAAATTTATTTATGAATAAGACCTTTAGTATTTCCTTAAACATTTTTATTTGTTAGATTTTGTTAGATTGGTATGTTCGAGTTTTAATACTGTTTGGCTGGCAAAGAAGTGGATGAATACATAGCCATAACTGCATTATATTGTGTCTTTATTTACCAAAAGAATGCACACAAAATAACCTTGAAATGTTAACGACTACATCATTGTTAAGTGAAGAGAATACTAAGGAAAAGCTAAAACAATTGTAGTAGTTGTATTAGTCAAAAATGAACCAAGCAATTTTACAAGGACTTTAAGTATCCTTTTAAGAATGTAATCTTCCCAATTGTCTTAAGACTTTAGTTTCCCTTTTCTACTAAGAGATCGCCTTGAGCGGTTTTTCGTTACTATTGTGGCCTAAGTATAAATGTAGGATGTATAGTATATGATACTAATATTTGTACAAATATATCTGAACTTTTGCTGAACGATTTAGTCTCGAAACAATGCAACTATGTGTTTATATAAAAAATATGTTTGTGGTTTGTAGTACAATCTTAGTCAGAAATATATACATATTAAGTCACTTTAAGGTCATACTAAGGTGGGTCATCTCACAAATAACTGAGCTATAACATCATGAAACTGTAATTGAAACTAATCTTAAAGTTATACAAGTAAGAAATCTATATTCGCCTTTGTCGAATCTTATATAAGCTTCACCATAGTATATGTATTTAAAAATATAAAATTTATAAAATTTCAATTTATTTTATTTTCCCGACTCTATCATTACTTTAGCAATAGCAAAACAAAGGGGAAAACACCAACGCTAAACGAAATAAAACACACAAAAACAAAATACACAACGCAATGAAACAACAGCATGCAAACATACGAAGCAAAATACACCACGCAATGAAACCAACATACATCCAAAAATAAATCTTCTTCCTATAAGAAGTGTTGTTGTTGCTTATTTATCAAAGCCTGCAAAAAATTTGGATCCCGAAGGTATCTGAGGTCTTCAGAAAACTGATTTCAGCAGACGGACAGACAGACAGACAGACAGGCAGACAGACAGACAGACAGACGGACATGGCTTAATAGACTGTTTATAAGGATTCAGAATATATATGCTTTATAGGCTTTATAGTTGCTTCTGTCCCAATATAATATAAATACTTATAAATATACCCACTTATAATGAATTTTAACTATTAAGTATATCTTAAGAGAAAGGAAACTTTGGCCAAATATAGTCTCAAAACTAAAACGAAGGGAAACAAAAGAAGAGGAAATATATGTATGGATGTGTATAATGTTTTAATGTTGTATGTATGTATAGATATTAGGTACAAATATTTTTTAACAATTCATTTGTGTTTGATTGTATACTACTTAATACATCCAATATACATATCCTTGAAAAGACTGATTTTATACAAGTGTATGTATCGAAGTAGTTTCAAACGAAATATCACTTGAAGCCTTTGTGTCGAGTTCGGTTATTCCTAGAAATGCATCAGAAAAAATACAAAAACGCGAAATGCGAAATGTGATTGAGCTGACTATAACTGCAGCATCTATTGTGGCTGCTAGTTGTCATTCAAATTTTGTGCCCTTCATGGGTCTGTTCAGTTTATACTTCCTGTTGAAAATAACTGCTAGTTGTTCGGTTTAATCTCATTGTTTGTTGAAATTTTGGTTAGTGAATGTTTGTTGGTACTTTTTCCTTCGGCGACTTAAATACATTGAAAAAAATTGTTTAAATAATTCACAGTTTCTAAACTACATTGTTGATTGTTGACATATATTAATTAATCGCTACCAGTTTGGCAGTAGTGCTTTTGTATATATTTTTCATTAAAAATAAAAACAAGTTTATTTTCTTCTAAATGACATTGTAAATGCATTTTCTCTGACCTTTCAAAGTAATAAATTAATTCTTTGGTTGACTGTACTCTTTGTTGTGACGCTTAGTAATTTTGTTGGAACTTAATCATCACTGTAAGAACTCTAGGTGACCTACAGAAAAGTAAATGGTGAATTATATATTGGGGCAGTCTTTCAGAACTGCTGGGTTAATCATTCATCTAAGTATTGGTAGTAATTTTATTCCTTTTTTGCATCTGTATGAGACTTTATGTGTTACATTTACATTGCCCTTATTATCATTACTTTAACACAACAACTAAAATAACGATAACTACAAACCATTGTCATTACAAGAAAACGTCATTATCGTAGCATATACAATGCTTATTTACTGGTAAAGTGGCACAACTAAAAAATTAAAAAAAAAAATATATTTATGACATTTAAATCTATCCTGAATAACTATTAAGTAAATTACTGGAATTAGAAGATGAAATCAGATTTAAATAGAAAAGGTTAATAGCCGCCTAAATTTTAACTAAATTTTTACTTATTAAAGTTAGTGAAAATATATGCTTTACTCTTGACATTTACTACAAAAAATCAAAAATAATAGTAATTTTTCAAAAAAAGATAAAATTAAAAGAATAACTTTAGAACGGCTCATATTTTTTAGTTTAAATAACCTGAATTATGATTTATATCAGTTTTGTAGTAAATGTGGATCATGATGATGACGTATTTGACTTTCCTCTTTTGCCATAAAATGCCATATATGTTACCTCCCCCTTTGTTTGCTTTTAACTCCTCACATTGTGAAATGTACATTTTATGTATTTCTCTATCATTTCAAGTGTACAAAAAATATTTATATAATTATTTTCTTGTTATTCAGATAATTAACTAATTTGGCATAATTAATTTCTTTTCTGTGTGGCTGTGAATTCTATGAAGTGTGAATAGTTATATTTTTTTTTTTTGCAAAATTTTATTATTTGTGTAACATGTCGCAGCATGTGAATTTTTTCTATTTACCCTTATAAACCATTTTACATTCAGTACTTGTGTCTTTTCTAATTGGCCATGTCTCTGAATTTTGGCACTATAATTTGTGTTTTTAGAAAGAAGAATAAATAAAAACAAATGCAGATGAAATTGGAAGATGAGTTCAGGGTTGCTGTTTAGATGTAGAGTATTGTTGTATCATTAAAGCCTGCCACAAAATAATGCCGATCTATAACTTGGATACAAAATAGAATGAACAGTCAGCTGGACGGACAGATGGTGTTTATGACCGCGATCATTATATTTTATTATTTTATACTTATTTTTATAATTCATAATATTGATGTTTCCTACATTTTAACATACATATAAATACAACATTGTAAAGATCATTTTTTTGAAACTTTGGTAACACTGTGACAGACGAAAGGGAAGAAAGAAAGGATAGACGGAAAACCAAGGAGAGAACAACACTTGAAACCACTAAGTTCATTACAGACTTTATACAACTTATATTAAATGTAAAACCAGTGAAATAAATAATTTTATGTTCTAATTAAAATACAAATATCCGTGTTTAATTTTATACAGTCCGCTAAAGAATCGAACATAATTTTTGGTCCAATCGACCCAGATGTGGTTGTGTAAAGTCAAGTGGATTACGAATTTATTAAAATTTGCATGATAACAAAAACGATACATACGCGTCGCGCAAACGTGGTAGTTTTTCTTATTTTTATTAAATTTACCAACGACAACAACATCGGGTGTATACATGTTCAACTGTCTTACATAGGGAAAACCACCCTTAAGGAAAACAATCGATAAGAGTGATCATAGTGATTCTTTGTTAATACGTGTGTCGTATATATGTACATACGGAACGTGGATAATATAATTTGTCATACATACATACAGAATATAGCTTACATACATAAGTGTCTGGAAGTGTTTATCGTAAAGTACATAAGGCAAAAGTTCCAACATACATGAAATTTCTGTGGAGCAAGAAAAGGAAAAGTGTTAACATACATGGTATATCAAAACAGTGTACGTACATGGGATTTCGGTTGGTACATACATTAGAATCAGTGGTCAAAAGATAAAAGACAAAAAGATCGTTTACATACATGAGTGAATTGGTATGGGAAGGACAGAACAATAAACAAGAAAGATACATGTGGATTAGTAGAACAGTGACAGTGTTGATATATTTGAAAAGGCAGTTAAAAGTTTTATTGTGAATGTGGAAGCAGTGCATTTGTAACTATAGTATAACTAGATTACAGTTTGACAAAGTTTAAAGTAGATCATTTAAAACTGTGTTTGATTTGGCAGTGCACTTGTAACTATAATGGAACTAGATCACAGTTTGATAAAGTTTAAATCAGTGCATTTGAAACTGGAATGTTATATGGTTGTGAGATTTGCTAAATAGTATGTGGATTTTGTGTTTTTGATTTGGCTTGATATTAATATTAAATGTGAAGTGGCTGGACTACAGAATAGGGTGTGCGTAATAAAGTTACTGTATGACATTGAATAACCGGCAATTAACATTTAGAACGAAAGTTATATTAGAGAACCATAATAAGGATAATTTTTCGGTAATTATAGAACGCGAATTCGTGCAAAATGGAACAATTAAGGAAGAAACGCACACAATTGAAAAAGTCGGTGATAAAATTGTATAATTTCATATCTGGCCATAACGTGAGTTACAACGATATAAAGGTACGTATGGAGGAATTTGAAAATGTTTTTATGAAATACAAGGACATTCAAGATGAGATTGATAGCTTATGCGATAAAGATTCTGACATTCAAAAGGAAGATGCATACCGCAATGAAATTGATGAAATGTATTTTACGGCTAAATCCATATACACGTCATATACTCAGGAAAATTTGGATAGTACGGTAATTGAGGGAGCAGCTGCAAGTACTCCACAACTTAATAATGATTTGACGGCATTATTACAGACAATGTCAACAACATTGACATCTGTCGTTAACTTACAGTCATCTGGCATGAATAATTCGAACATTAATAACAACAATTCGAGTATACGTTTACCTCAAATTGAGATTCCAGATTTTGATGGCAATTTATCAAACTGGATTCGGTTCAGGGATTTATTCAACGCCATGGTTGATGCTAGAACAAATTTATCGGACGTTGAGAAGCTAGAGTATCTCCAGACGAAACTCAAGGGCGAAGCATCGTCGATAATTAAGCATTTAACTCCTACGAACGGTAATTATAGAATAGCTTGGGACATAGTGAAGAAGAAGTACGACAGACCAGATCAAATAAAGGAGACATATATTAGACTACTTTTGACTCAGCCTTCGGTCAAGAATGGTACATTGTCGGAGATTAGAAAATTTTACAACAACACTATTGAGTGCTATAATGCTCTTTCTGTCTTATATGAATCCGTGGCTTCGTGGGATCCATTATTGCTATTCTTGATAAAGGAGAAGTTAGATCGGGAAACAATTACGCTGTGGTATCGTCAGCAGAATGATATTGATAGGCAGTCATTTAAGAAGTTATTAGATTTTTTGGAAAGTCGTGTAATAGAGTTGGAAAGTTTGGAAATACCTGATCAGTCATCTAAGTTCAGGAAACCTAATAAATTTGTTACAATGACAGCAACAACTCAATCGTGTCCAGTCTGCCAAAAAGATCATTTTTTATTTGCATGCCAACAGTTTAAGGATCTGAATATCGAAAGACGCAAGAACGTCGTTCTCAAAAGTGGTTTTTGTTTCAATTGTCTAAAGGAAAAACATTTTTCTAAGGATTGTAAGTCTAGTTCCTGCAGAACTTGTGGCTTGAAACACAACACATTGTTGCATGTTAATACTAATCCATCAAGAGGCAACGCTGAACAGTCAAGTGACGATACTAATGGCTCTTCTTCAATTGCGGTAAATTCAAGTCAGCAGACTACAACAAATCAGACTACACTTCTGCCAACAGCGGTAATCATGGTGCGTGATAGGAACAATAGCTTGCAACCATGCAGAGCTCTTGTAGATACCGGTGCCCAATCAACGCTCATTTCGGAATCATGCGTTCAGCGACTTCAGTTGAATAGGTCGCATGATAAAACTGCTCTATGTGGAGTTGGTGGAAACACTACAAGTTACACCAGGGGAAAAGTACAATTGGAAATCTTCGCTAAGGATATCAACAGAACAATCATAGTTCAGACTTATTGCTTATCGAATCTGACACAATATATTCCGTCACATACGATAGTGAACCAGAAGCTCGAATATTTTAAAGATTTGAAACTGGCCGATCCTGTTTACCATAAACCAAACCACATCGACATCATTTTAGGAGCTGACGTTTTTCCCCATTGTATATTAGGGGAAAAGGTATCCCATCCATCAGGTTCTCCAACAGCACTTAGCACAATATTCGGTTGGGTGATTATGGGAAATGTCAACAGACAACCCGAAAAGTCCATTATGATTGCCCATCTACATACTGGCTTGGACGAACAACTTCAACGTTTTTGGGAGATAGAACAATGTGATGTTCAATCAAAGCATTTAACTCCTGATGAGGAACATGCCGAACAACATTTCAAGGAAAATGTCCGGAAACAACCTGATGGACGATATATGGTGAAACTTCCGTTCAAAGCTAATTCTTTTCAACTTGGTGAATCGAAGACAGCGGCAATGCGAAGACTTGAATCCATGGAACGACAGTTTGACAAGAATGGTAATCTCAAGGTCGAGTTCCACAAATTCATGAACGAATACATAGAGCTCAATCACATGGAAATTGCAACTAATAAAACGGAACATCAAGTTTACTACATGCCACATCATGCAGTTTTGAAACCATCAAGTACCACTACCAAATTACGCGTTGTTTTCGATGCATCTTGCAAAAGTTCAAACAACACATCGTTGAATGATCATCTCCTTGTTGGACCTACAGTACAAAATGATTTGTATTCGATTCTGCTAAACTTTCGAAAACACAAGATAGGTTTTACCGCAGACATCGAGAAGATGTACAGACAGGTACTCATACATCCAGATGATATATCATATCAGAGTATTTTATGGCGTGATTCTCCAAAGGATCCACCCATCACATATCATCTCAGGACAGTTACATATGGAACTGCATCGGCTCCATTTCTAGCTACCCGTACGTTAATGCAAGTTGCTCTTGATAACTCACAGAAGTATCCAGAAGAGTCTAACGAGATCATCAACAAGTTTTACGTAGACGACTACATGTCTTCAGCTCCAGACTTAGAATCGGCTATTTCACGTCATAGGACCCTATGCACAGTTTTATCCAAATCAGGTTTCAACCTTCGCAAATGGTCAACGAACTCAAGGGAATTGTTGGATAAAATTGATCCTCAAGATCGAGCTTGTTCATCAGAGCTGATAATTGATCAGTCAGAAACGGTAAAAACTCTAGGACTGCTTTGGAACACATCAACGGATTGTTTTCAATACAGCGTGTGTTTTGGCGAAATTACTGGAATAATCACGAAACGTCGCGTGCTATCGGATATTTCAAGAATTTACGATCCAATTGGCTGGCTATCTCCGGTGTTAATTAAAATGAAAATCTTCATGCAAAAACTTTGGATTAAAGGTGTCAATTGGGATGAAGATCTACCAAGTGATCTTAAAGCGGAATGGCTACAACTTCAACATCAAGTTGAGAACATACGTGATCTACAAATTCCCAGATGGTTTAATTTCAACGTTGAAGATCGTATTGAACTTCACGGATTTGCAGACTCATCGGAATTAGCCTATTCTACTGCTATTTATATTCGTGTCATAAAACCAGATGGATCAATAACAACTAGTCTAATAACATCGAAAACCAGAGTTACCCCGATTCGACAAATAACACTTCCACGCTTAGAGCTTTGTGCAGCTCATCTCATGGTGAAAGTTATGGTTAAAGTGAAACAAGCTTTAGAATTGCAGAATGTACCTACATATGGTTGGACTGATTCAACTGTCGTACTAGCATGGTTGAGTGATCATCCACGGCGGTGGAAAACCTTCATTGCAAATAGAACATCTCATATTATCAACATAATTCCAGCAAGTCAATGGCGTCATATTACATCGAAACAAAATCCAGCCGATTTAGCTACGCGTGGCATCTCTTCATCGGAAATTAAAGACAACAGTTTATGGTGGCAAGGGCCACACGTTTTGCAAGGTTTCACAATGGAAGCTTCAACAATGTCAACAGCATCTATCCCATCGAACATTGATTTAGAGGAACGCAAGGTAATCGCAACAGCAACATCCGTCAAGCAAACAGATTTGTTTCACCTATTCTCAAGTTATGACAAGCTACTTCGTGTAACTGCTCTGATTTTACGTTTTTTTGGTAATTGTAAATGCAAATCTCAACGTCAAACTGGTTTCCTCACTACGACGGAGCTTCAAAACGCTCACAGAATGCTTGTAAGAAAAGCTCAACATGAAACATATGCAGCGGAAATTCGTATGTTAGCATCGAACAAACAGATTCCTTCTGGAAACAAGCTTGCCGGTCTATCTCCATTTCTCGACAACTTTGGAATCTTGCGTGTAGGTGGTCGCCTTGAAAACGCTTCAATCAGTTACGATCAGAAGCACCCATATATTCTACATAAGAACAACATATTAACACAACTCATCGTTCGACACTATCACACAAAGCATTTGCATGCGGGAAAACGCCAGCTGCAGTACTTATTAGGTTTGAAGTATTGGATTCCTGAAGTATCACAAATCGTAAAAAGAACAATCTACCAATGCACAACATGTATGCGGTTCAGACAAAGGCCATTTCAACAACGAATGGGTGATCTTCCTAGCTGTCGCTTGCAACCTGGATCAACATTTTTATACGTCGGCATCGATTTTGCTGGCCCAATGCTTGTGCGATCGTGGAAGGGGCGTGGTTCCAAAACATACAAATGTTGGTTAGCAGTATTTGTTTGCTTAAATACTAAGGCAATCCATCTTGAACCTGTGACGGACCTTTCTACACCAGCATTTCTTGCTTCATTTCGCCGTTTCACATCCAGACGTGGGAAACCACTTCATGTTTACACGGACAACGGAACTAATTTCGTTGGTTGTAATCGCGAATTGAAGGAGTTATATGATTTTCTTCACACAAATTATCCATATATTCAAACGGAAATGTCTAACGAACAGATACAATGGCATTTCACACCTCCGTCCGCACCAAACTTCGGCGGCATATGGGAGGCAGGTGTCAAATCTGTCAAATTCCATATGAAACGTGTACTAGGCAATTCATCTACAACGTATGAAGAGTTAAGTACTTTGCTGTGTCAAATTGAATGCTGCTTGAATTCTCGACCATTATGCCTGAAATTCGAAGGAGACATCGACCCTCTAACACCAGCACATTTTTTAATACTCCGCTCAATGAAGTCAATTCCAGACAAGAATTTAATTGATGTCAACGTTAATCGCCTAAGCAGATGGCAATACATACAAAGCCTAGTTCAACAATTTTGGTCTAAGTGGTCTAACGAGTATCTTACCCACCTTCAACAACGGCCAAAGTGCCGTCGGAAAATTGAAAATCTACAAATCGATGACATCGTTCTCATAAAAGAGGAAAATCTTCCCCCTACACAATGGCTCATCGGGAGAATAATATGTACTCATCCCGGTAAGGACAATATAGTCCGAGTAGTTTCAATGAAGACGACAAAGGGTGTCCTCAAACGTCCAATCTCAAAGGTTTGTCCACTTTTTGTAGATGGTTGAAAGGGATCCTTTCAAGGTGGGCCGATATGTTTATGACCGCGATCATTATATTTTATTATTTTATACTTATTTTTATAATTCATAATATTGATGTTTCCTACATTTTAACATACATATAAATACAACATTGTAAAGATAATTTTTTTGAAACTTTGGTAACACTGTGACAGACGAAAGGGAAGAAAGAAAGGATAGACGGAAAACCAAGGAGAGAACAACACTTGAAACCACTAAGTTCATTACAGACTTTATACAACTTATATTAAATGTAAAACCAGTGAAATAAATAATTTTATGTTCTAATTAAAATACAAATATCCGTGTTTAATTTTATACAGTCCGCTAAAGAATCGAACAGATGGACTGACTAGTTTTAATCGACTTAGATAATCATAAATGAAAAATAATTCTATTTAATTTTAATTTATTGTTTTTTTATATAATGATAAAAAAACATTTAATTTAATCCATTGGAATTTTATAAATTAGTTATAACTTAAGTTTAAAATATGTTTAAACTTAAGGCCTTATTCGTACACATTTCTCAAAGGTTTGAAGAACAAATTTTGTATGAAAATTTGATTTTTTAAACCTTTGATTATGAATAAGATCCTTAAAATTCAGCTACTCATATACATATTTATATATAAATATTTTAATTTATATTGACTAGGCCTACGTTTCAGTAGCATCAGTAAATAAAATAACGAGAACAACAACTTTTATTATTATGCAGTCTTAAAATTAAAAGATTTCCTAAATTACTTTTTAGACTGCCCCCTCAACACAGTACAACATTCAGACGTAATTCTCGAAAAAAAAAACATTAACAAAATTTCAGTAACATCAACATTTCGAAAAAACATTAAATACAAACATTTATGATGACTGCCTCTCAAACTTTCTCACATAAATTGTATGAATATTTGTTAGTATTCAAAAAAATACATTGTACCACAACAACAATAAACGGACAATGAAACAACAAAATATTACTTTTTTCTTCTATTTGAAACAGTCTAAAATTTTTTACGAAGACCGGAGTAAAATTGCTCTGATGTTTAACTATCAAATTGAATGCCATAAAATATCAATGTTATATTTGAAACAGAGCTTAAGTCAATTATGGACCGAGCTCTTCCGATTTAACAAAATATCAATTTTTAAAAACAAAATTTATATTTCTTCCAATCGGTTAATTATGGACAGATTGTCTTAAATGTGAACCGATATTGATTATTTTAAATACCAAACAATAAATAGCCAATACTTGTGGAAAATTTCAACCTTCTAGCTCTTTCCGTTTGGACTTTATTGTGCATACAACAGACAGACGGACAGAAAGACGGAAATACGGACAGACAGACGAACGGACGGACAGAAGGACATGGCCAGATAGGTACTCTTGCAGTCTGAAAAAAAAAACATCACATATACATGGTCTTACTATCACCTAGAGTTCTTCGCATACATAAGTATTGATGACTATGTTTGTTCTTATCTTCCGTTTTCACAAAACTTTGTTTCAAAGTAATGTGTCGAGACATGTTAACATTTTTTCTTACATTTTCTTCCTTATTGTTTAGTTTTGATGTTGTGGTTCCTTGTAAATTGTTGTTTTTAATATGAGGTTGCTGCAGTACTATGAATAACATTTCTTACAACAGGCATTGGGGGTGTTGCTCACCAAGTATTTTCTTGTTAAAGTTTTTTAGGGCTGGTTAGTTAAATCATGACAAGTTTTTTTTTTTTTTTTGATCCCACTGCTTCTTTATTTTTTCCCATAGTGTTATATGAAACATAGTTTTTCAAAATAGTTATCATAAAACAATGAAATATACGAAAGTCTTAACATAAAATGTGTACATTTGAACTGCTTCTGTACTGGATGGTTTTATATATTTTATTATTCAAATCTTTTCTGTAATGAATCATTACAATATATACATATACCTTATATACATATATGAATATATACAATTTGAACTATATAATGTCAACATTTAAAAACACTTGCTTACAATTTGGTGTGCAATTAACCCACTTTCATTGCGTCCAATTGAAATATCAATGAAAGCACTCCTTTAAATACGCCTTTCTTTTCTTTTTATCCCATTTGTATGCTTCAAAAACGTGTGTAATTTTTTTGTGCAAATTCATCACACTTCTTAGTCAATTCTCTACTTTATTTGTTTTTGTTGTATAGTGTTTATAAAAGATTTTTACCTTTAGAAGAAACAACAGCAATGAACAACAAATTAGAAAGTATAATCGGTCGTGACCGACCATATGACACCCTACATCAGTTATGAATATTAAATGTGATTTTTTTTACATAATAAAACATTTATCCTCAATATTACCTTGTTCCGATACATTTAAGCAATTTATGGATGGAAAACTATTCTAAGCCGATTGGTATACTTTAAGGTGGGTATAGAACGAAAACTGTTGTACGTTACAATCATCAGCACAAACCCAATATACCCTCTCCACTAAAGTAGTGTAGGGCATAAAAATATATTCCTAACTACATACATATGTATGTATGTACTTTTATCTTGACTTTGTACAAAAAGAGTGTATGAAGTTACAGGCAGAAGTTTCGATATACCCTACACAATTATTGTATAAATAAGAGAATATTATGCGCTTAATTTTATAAATAGAATTCAGACTGACAGGCAGATGGGTTACAGTGTTATAAGTATTGTGTTCTTAACATTATCCATTGTTTTAACTTTAGCCAAAATTAACATATTATTATATTTCATATGCTTTGTTTCCTTCTTGCCGTCCATATTAACCTTGTATGTAATGATAAATTTAATAATTTTTATTGAAAATGGTTGAAATCAGTGGAAATCCGATTGTATGTGACCTTATTCAACCGGATTTATCCCAAATTCGTAATCTTCTAAATATCTCTATAAGTCTTCTAGTGTAGAGGGACCATATGATCCGGTAAGGCTAACTATACTTTTTATATATTTCCCCCCGTTCATATGCAGGTTGTTAAATTTCAATAGAAATTTCAAAAGGACTTTTATTCTCTATAAAGTTTTTGTTCATGTTTAACTGCAAGTAAAAGAACATAATAATGTGTCCTTTTTCTCTAAATCCTATACCATAGAATTGAAAGGATAACTTTACTCAACTGAGTTACTATATATGTATGTCTAAAAGTGCCTAAAGAAATTCTTTATTTAAAGCATTAAATCACATTTATAAAGATAATCAAATTTATATATATTTTACGAAATTGTCTAAAAGAGTATTTTAAAGTATTATTCATTTAATTTTGTCTTTATCTCAAACTGAATTTTAAGCAGTATGGTTTTCTTTCCATTAATTTAAAATCCTTTAAACGTTTATTTAAAAGTAAAATGGTTAGACTTGATTGGATGGGTATCATGAATCTAACGTATCCTTACAGGAGTTAAACTGTATGCAACCTTCTTTTTCTCAGTGTATAAATATTGCCACAAAATTAATATAATCTATTGAGCTAACACTGTAATCGAGTACATTTTAATGCAGAGCTAAAACCACAATTAAACACAATGAAATAAATTTAAATTTATGACAATTTTTTCGCCAACCAATTGAGGTCAGTTGTTAAAAAAATATATATATGTATTTTAACTAGTAGATAATATAAAAAATCAATTTTAATTCTAAAATATAAATAAATTCTAGATGTAATAAAAAACCACTAATTTATTATTTTAATCAAAAGGTGTTGTAACTTAATTAAAATTATAATTGAATCAAAAACATTTACAATACACAAATAACTATTGGACAATTAAACATTTAAATAAAATATTGGAAATTACCTTTGATGATTTTAATTGAAATGTGGTTTATTATTATGTTTTTTTATAAAAGTTTAATAACCTTCACCTTAGTGAAAAGTGTATATATAGGGGCAATTTCATGTTTTGACGAAATTTTCACCAAGGTTAGTAGGTCAGACACAAATTTTCAGCTCTATCGGTCACGAACTGCCGGACATAGACATTTTCCAAAGGAAATGGGCTTTTTTTGCTTAAAAGAAAGTTTATACAATTTCCTTTAAGAGTTTTATAGTTCCATAATGGGATGCGAGTGGGATATTTATCAAAAAAATTATTTTTTAACTCAAGAATAAATTTTTTTTCAATATTTAGCACTTCATTTTCCCCTATTTGCTTTTTTAAATGGATGCTTTTGTTGTATTTTTTTACTCAAAAGCTTCCTTTAAGATATTTGTGATTACTTAGTATTCCTACCCCTTTTTGAAATAACTGAAAAAAAAATTAAATAAAAGCACTCATTTATTTCTCTTACCTAAAAAAAATCAATTGTTCGTTAAATGCCTTTTAGGTGTTAAATAATCATAATTTCTTTCTAAATGGAAAAAAGTGAAAAAAGAATCATAATTGTATTTTTGATTGAAGTGTTAATTATAATTTTTTCCTTGTCTGTCTCTATTTTGGGTCATGCTTTTATAATTTCTCTTTTTGTTATCTTTTTTTAACTGGTTTGTTTTTAATTTGATTCCATTTATGACCAGATTTTTTATTTTAATTATTTCGTTTATTTTTCACAATCATAAATTCATTCATTTAGGTCATTCATTTAGGTCTTTAGTTTTAATTTAATTTTCCTAAACTTTGTTTCATTTTGAGTTTATAAAAATTATAATTTAAAATATTTTTATAAATCAGCAGAAAACAGCAATACTCTTATTAAGTATGGCTACAAGAAAAAATTGGTTTATTTATTTGGGTAAAATTTTATGAATGCATTTATTTTCCCAAAAAAAAAAATTCTAGTGACTTATATCCAAAATATAATATAATCACACATTTTTTATTTTTATGTATGCTCTTGACGCAACTTTATGACCTGCAGTTTGATTGCAAAGTTTACAAGCCCTTATTAGGAGGTTTAGTTGTATGGGAATTAGGTGAAATAATGGACCGACC